ATGAGAGATATTATTGTTTGAGTTACATCATGAGTTTTAATATAAGAGTATGAACATGATAGTGGTTTACATTGATTAAAATAATTTTCATATGATAAATCAATTTTATACTCTTCAATTGTTAAATTATTTAAAATTAATTCAACTGTTGAATTTAAATTAAATTGACTTTTTTCCAATGTTGACATATTTAATCTTGTAAAATTTCCATTTGAATCGATACAATTTTGATCATAAAAGCAGGCAAGTTTTGTTTGAAGAATAGATTCAAGTGGATAACAACCACTCATCATATCTCCTGATGGTTGAGTACATTTAAATGATAATCCACAATTACATTGATGATAACTTACAGGTACTGTATGTACAGGTAAATAAAAATAATATTCATTTTCAAGAGCAAGCTCCCAATTTGTGATCCATCCACTCATAATCATATTCGAACCAATTATTTCACGAATTAAATTAAAAAGATTAATAAATGATTTGGATGCAGTTAATTGAAGTCGATTTAGAGTTATTTCAATTTGTTCAATTAAAACATTTTCAAGTAAAAGCTGAGAATTCATAAAATAGCTTGTCAGAAATTGCGAAAGGGTATAATTTACTTTTTCTTGACTAAGTTTACAAAGTGAAGAAAGTGAAAGAAATTGTCCAGGAGCTGAATAACGATAATCATCGAATGAAAATCGACGAGAAAGATTACCTTCGCCATAAATATAATGAATCCATTCATCAGAAATAAATTGACTTGAACATAAATCATGAAAACGAGGTTCAATATAGAGAAATGTTTCATATGGAATAGATATTTGTGAACAAGAACATTGAAGAGAATAAGAATGATCTTTTAATAAATCTTTATAATTTGAAAGTGATGGTTTTATTATTTGAGCAATAACTGTTTTTGGTTTAAAAGCAGAAAATAGAAATATTAAGTATAATGTTAGTAAAAGAAAAATTAAATGAAGTCGATTAATAAGACGTTGTTCAGTATTACAAACAAATAAGCTTTTTATCATTATTATAAATCCATTAAAAGAATTATTATTATTATTATTGATTGTATTCTCAATAAATCGAAGAATAATTAATATCAGTAGTTTTAATCCAAGAGATAAACCACCAAAAATACCAAGAATTGTTGTTATAATAAAGAATAAATCATTTCGACTAATATATTCATATGTACATGATACTGGAGAACATTTATAATAATATGAAGAAAATGAAATATTTGATGTCCAAGAATCAATCATAAGTCTATTGATAATTGATCCCACTATTTCATTCGATGAACTAAGATTTTCATTTAAATTTGAAAAATTAAAAGATGATCCAAGAGGAATATTAAAATATTTATCGAATTCAATCATACATGATAGATTATAGAAACATTCTAAAGTTGATTTCATTAATCCTTCGATTTGGGAACAACCCAGAAAAAAATTTTGGATTTTAATAAATAATACGGGAGTCTCCAAATAGTATATATCGCTACCGTACAGACCGATAGGGATAAGACATGATGAAGATAAAGTACATGAACAATTGAAATATTCTACTAATTTAAGATTTATTTTTGTATCATTCGAGTCTATATGAGGAATATAATAATGAAACAGCTCACTAACAAGTTGATTTCCATGTGATACAGCTTGAAATATTTTTATTGTTTCTAAAAATTGATCAATAGTTTGAGATTTCCAATCATTAATAGATGAATTAATTTTAGCTTCAAATCGATTTTGAGAAATAACTTGTGAAGAAAGAAATTGTGTTTGAAGAAATGTTTTGATACTAATATTAAGTGTTTGTTGAGCATGTTGACATAATAATGACAATAACTGAAAGTGAAATACACCAGAATTTTGATAGTCAAATATTGCAAGATAATCGTTCATTATATCATCACCCTTGATATAATTAATCCATCTATCTGATATTAAATCACTTGAACATACTTGATGAAAGTAAGATTCAATCGTAATAAATGTTGAATAACTCATTGAGACTGTTGAACATGGACAATAAAGATTTGAAGAATAAGTTTTTTCAAGTTTTTCATATTGAAATTCTGATGGTTGATGAATTGTTTTTTCTTGAAGATCTTCATTGAGTAATAAATAAAAACTACTTATAATAAGCGAAATGAGAAGAAGAAATAAGTACAATCGAGTTGCAATTCTTTGATAATTGATTTGATATTGATTACTTCTATTAGCTTTAAACATATTTAGTTCAATTAAATTTTTTCTCAAAAGTCTTTTGATCTTTATTGTTACTAAACACAAAATAAAGAAAAAAGATAATTTTATTTTAAATTTTAATCAGGAAAAACAATTAAAAACTTTTATCATCTCAAAATAATTTCAATAGTAAATCAAGTCAATCAGTATAATTGTCGAAGTTGACTTTAAAAGGCATCTAGTTCACTTTAAAATTATAAAGTCAACTAGTCAACTTTAAAATTTCAGAGTCAACTAAGATGGAGCTAGTTGACTTGACAATTTTTAACTTGAATATTCGACTTTAAAATATAAAACATAAAACTGTTACCCTGTAATAAAGAATAATTAATTTTTAAGTAGTGGAAAGTTCTCGAAGTGAATTTAATAAGAGTTGGTTAATAATTATCATAACTTATAATAATGAAAGCAGTATCTTACTCTAAGTTAGAAACCTACTTGATTGATCTTAATGTGACAAGACAGTCAAAGTATTTGAGAAATGATGAAACGTACAATAAAACACAACAAGTTCTATAGAACAAAACAAAGTACGATCCACCATTTAATTTTTGGGCCAAAAAACATTTTACTATTGTTTGAATTGGTGACGAAAAGATGGTTTATTCATTAAAAAAAAAGTTGCCAAATGATAAATATGAAAATCTATTTGATGCACTTAATGAAAAGTCACAGCGGTAAAAATTCAAACTGTTAAAACTGCTAGATTTTTGTTTCATATTGGTTCATTTTTGCGCAGTTTATGAGCTAAATAAACATAATATTTACTGTATGAATAAAGATATAGTACTTCATATTTTAAAGTCGACTAATTAAGTTAAAAATTGTAAAGTCAACTAGGATGGAGCTAGTTGACTCTAAAATTTTAAAATCGTCTAGTTGACTTTAAAATTTTAAAGTGAACTAGTTGCCTTTTAAAGGCAACTGAATTTTAAAGTCAACTCCGACATAATCACCAAGACAAATATGTCGGTGTACCAATTTTAAAAGAGGAAGTCATTTGCTCTACTAATAACAACAAACTATTGTGTCATCCTCTCTTCTATGCAAAGTTTTAAGAATAGAAGAAATCGTGTCAGACATCTATGGGGATGTCAAGAAGTCAGAACGCCATCGTTTGATCATGTCTCGTTCCTTTCAAAGTCTTGCTTTCAAACTATTTATTCATAAAATTTTAAATAGCTTTCGATTATTCATTTTGTATTTTCTGAGATGAAGAGGTACAGTTCAAATACAGCCTCATCTATAAATAATAACAAAGTTCTAGGAAATTTAAATATTTTGACTTCAATTCATTCAGACGAGCTTATTTGTTTGGCACTAAAACTTTCCTCATTTTTTTATTCCGATAACGTAAGTAAATACTATTTTTATGTATTTTAATTGACCTAATAAGAACAGTATAACTACTAGTAGTTGTCAAGTAAGAAAAATACATATAAAATACTGCATTGACAATTTTGAATTGCTGTGTGACAGCATAACTTGAAAAACTTTACAAAAATTCGCTGAATGATATCACATTGATGCAAATATAGAAAACATTTTGAAGTAACTTATTACAATATGCCGATAAACACAGCTCTCTTACATAGTATCCTCTATATGGAGAAATCCTCATTCTTATTATATCGGTGTTCTGTCCCCTCTCTCCCTCTCCAGCTTTTTTTGTTTTTCCATATAACATAATGCTCTACGTAAAATCAACACAACTGGGTGAGGGAGTAGTGAAATAAACATCATATACCGAGGATAGTGGTAATGCTATCCCAGGAGGTTGTCATTGTGATCACAATAAAATGAATGCTGCTACAGTAATGAAATATCTTTATCTTTTTAAAATTCGATACAGGAATAAACCTCTTCTCATAATAGAAGCCCCCCGGGAGCTTCTAAACTACCTTTTATTCAGAGTTTTTGGATATGGCTTCTAATATGAGGAAGCTATTAATATGACTTTCGTAGAGAAATTTCGAAAACTCTATAATGGAGTCATTATTTCAATCATCTTGACTAATTCTTTTGGATAAATTCAAATAATCTTATAACATTCTGCGAAATCTAATATGAATATACAAGGTGTGTAAATGTGTTTTTTCAGAGTGAAGAAGTTTAGCACTATGATTTCAAATAGCAGTCACAAAGAATTTTATATTAGATAAGAGTTATCGAATGTTTTTGATGTCGAACTTAAAACATTTTTGAAAACTTTACACCTTTTTCCCGCAAAAAAAGTGAAGATAACCGGAGATTCATGAAGGAATAAAATTTTTTCTAGAATATTTTTACTTGATTTAATAGAGCTCGTCGAACTCTACAAAATTGTATATACTTTTAAAAAATAAATCATTTTTATGAGACCAAAGACAAACATTCGATTTTTCAATAGAATTAGTTTTTTTCCTATTCTTTTTTAAAACCATAGACACTTCAAAATATACTTGCTCTATCGAACCATGTAAAAATATCCTAAAAAACATTTTATTCAATTGTAAATCGCTGGTTACCTCATTTTTTTTCTGAAAAACGTATAAAATTTTCGAAAAACTTATGAGTTCAACATCAAAAACATTCGATAACTCTTACTGTTTAGCATGGATATAAACCATTTTTAACGCGTTTTAATCTGATATAAAATTCTTTATAAATCCTATTTGAAATCATAGTGTTCCCTCATGCAAAAGCATTGTTATACATCCTGTGCATCAATTGGTATAATGATATTATACTTCGGGTAATCAAAAAGTAGTGAGAGTGACGCTTCAGTATCACCTAATAAGTTTGAGAAAGCTTTCTTTCTATATTAACTAATAGAACAAACAATGCTCTATTTTTCTTTGCTATTTGATCATACTTAACCTAATATCATAATGACAAAACTTCGATGAGACCTGTTTTCTTATCATATGAGATAGTTATACTATGTGTTTTGGATAACTTTTGATAGAAACAAGACAGAGCTGCGGATTCCATCATGAGATTTTCTCTTTCGAACAATGAAAGCCGCAGCTCTCTATCTAATTTCTATCAAAAGTCATTCAAAACATATCTACTAGATAGGTATTAGCATAGCCATTGCATATGATAGAAAAAATAAGTCTTATCGAAATTTTAATATTATGATATTACATAGTCGAAGTATAATCAAATAGTATAGAAAAATAGACCATTTTTTTCTCTATTAGACTATATAGAAAGAAAGTTTCTTAAAGCATCTTAAACGATATTAAAATATTATTCTCGGTACTTTTGGACTATCCTAAGTGAATGCCTAAGATAGTACTAAAGAAGAAAAGCGTTTTCTTTATCGTTCGAATCAGCGGAAAACACTATGTGAAACGTTATCTACTCCACTTTCTGACGTGCAGTGCGCTTGCTTATGTAAACAATCAGTG